AGGGAGCCCGATGCGGGACTCGATCCCGGGACTCCAGGATCATGACCTGAGCCGAAGGCAGTCGCTTAACCAACTGAGCCACCCAGGCGCCCCTTGGACATAGTTTTAATTCCTTTTTGGTCAGCGGTTGTGTTTGACTCACAATTTGTTGCCAGTACATAAGAATCACCTTCTGATTTAAACTCAGGAAAGGACAAAAAAATCAGAACCATATTGTAAGGCTTCTTTGTGGGTCTTTGTTTTTTCTAGGAAAACGTAATGGGCAGCTCTGAACCACTTCCCTGGAGAGCTCAGGCCACACTACTGAGGGCTCCTGCCTGTCCACAGAAGGAGCAAAGGTGGGCTTATCTTTTCTTGGATAAGAGAGGACCGTGGAGTCAAATCCACACTTGCCCCAAACAGGGACCCGAGTACTCTCGTGGTCTCTGCAGCTGATCTAACGGGCACAGCAATTGTGTGATGCCAGCGTGAGCAGCCCCACACTGACTAGAAACACCTGCTTTGCTTTATTAATAAAGAAAAGTTTTCCTTTTTACTGAGCCTACCAGATTAGACTTAGGGGAGATTTATCAGAGGTCTGCCTAACTTTATTTATGTGAACGACAGTAAACATTAGTGAACACTTGGTTTATTGTATGATTATCATCAATTTTATATTAAAATTGGCCTAAAAGAAATTTATCTTCATGAGAAAAACATCAAACTATCAGTTGAGGAACAGTTTACAAAACGCCTGATCAGTGCTCCTTCAGAACTGTCCAGGAAAGTCCGAGAGACCATCACGACCAGGATGAGCCTAAGAAGGCATGATAGCTAAACGTCATGTGGCATCCTGGATGGGGTCCTAGTAGAGAAGAGGGATACTGAGTAAAAACTAAGAAGCTACAAATAAAATATGGACTTTAGGTAATAATGGAATCAAATCGGCTCATGAGTTGTGACACATAACCCATACTAATGTAAGATATTAATAATAAAGAAGCTGGCAGTGGGGCATAGGGGAACATTCTGAAGTACCCTCACAACTTTAAGGAAAACCCAAAACTGTCCTAAAATAAAACTTTATTCAAAAATATCTATAAAGAAATGAATGTCTAAAAAATGAAGACTTCCTTAATTTCACCTCTGAATTTTAGAATGGAGTAAAAGGTGACCGAGCGTGTTTGCTGAGTGCCGACTACATGTCAGCGTTCTAAGAGCTTTACTACATGTGTTACCTCATTTAATGCTAACAAAGATCCTATAAGGAAGGACAACTATTAGCCCATTTTTACAAATGGGAAAACTGAGGCATAACAAAGTTAAACAATTTGTCCAGCTCATAAAGCAGCATTTGGTTACAGAGCCTACATACTCTGTTATGTCCCTAAACTGCACAGAGAGAGGATCACAAATGATGAGAAAATCATAAGTGAGTGGAAACTCCAGAACCATGAACCCTCAGACCCAAAATATGCTGGTAAGTGAGGTTGGGATATATGAGGGCTGAGCAACTTCCCCACACTTTGTGTAGAGATGGGCCACTCATTTGTCATCCAATGATAACATACATGTGAAGAATCATACCCTTTGAAGGATGATTAATTTATCTGACAAGTCTGAGATGATGACAAATGACTTGGAGGGAAAAGAACCAGTCAGCAGGATGGGCCCTGAGCACAGCCCAAATCTGGCCCCTTTTAGACTTCATGTCACAGGCACCACCCCTTCTGCTTGCATCTTTGGGCTCTGCTCTTCTCAGCCTCCCTCTGCCTAAGCAACCCCATACACACTCTATCTCACCGACAGGAGCCTTGCAACTAACTCCTCCAGGCTGACCCTCCCCAGCTTTCTCTCGTGGATCCCAGAGCACATTCTGAAGCAATCTCCAACACGTGTGTTTTTAACCCCAGTCCCCAAGCTTGAACATTTGCAGGAACATGGGGTTTACTCTCCCCAAAGGTAGCCCACACTTCGATGCCCTAATGGTTGATACAAGAGACCCAAGACCAGCAGCAGAGCCTTCCTGAGGCTAGCACTCCCCAGGTCCTCCACATCCTAATCGGTAGCACCAAATCCTATGAGTGATGCGGAGTTGCATCCTCCCTCTTGATCTAATCTACCCACCAGTAACTCTTGATGTCTTCGCCTCTAATCCCCATCCCAACACATCCACCCTCTGCCTCCTTGCTACCAGCACCCCAGCCCAAGCCACACTCCCCTCTTACTTGGAGGGGCAAAGACCCCAGAGTGATACTGGCATGTCATGACTCATTTGAAAATCACAGTAACTCCCATACTTTAATCTCCATCTGCTTGTTTGTCTACTCTCAGCTATTTCCAAACTTGGATGATGAAAAAGGGTATCATTTATTAACTTATTCAAACCCCCTATATCTTAAAATTCTATGATATGTATACCTTAAAAACACACATAAAAGAATACATATACGCATATGCATTTGCTTTTTATGTATTGATTTTAATTTATAGATTCCATGTAAGTATATTTTTAATTTATAGACATAGAGATTGATGCACATTTTTTATTTGTTGGTCTCGCCAGATAACCCTTTCATGTCTTACCTTCTCCTCCTCTGGACACTGAGTCCTGGAGGCAGCAAGCCACAGTTGTGCCCGTAGATGCTGGCTGGCTACTGTCGGCAGCCTGCTCCGCCCTTGTAGGAATGGTTCTCCCTCCTAGTGTCTGAGTGTCATTGGTCCCCCCACTTGGGGCAGGGTGTTCTGCCTGCCAAGGTGGGCTGTGTGGGACCTGCATGTGTTCTGGGGGCCCCAGGGCCTACGGGCTGAGAAGGGAGGGTTTCCCCTAACCCTTGGCCTCTGCTACCATACTCCCAAACCACTGTGTGAGGTATTCAGAATGGCTTTCACTCATGACATTGCACTTTCACACACAATGACTTCTTGTGGCTGCTTCCAAACACTTTCCAGAGCTCTTGCCCATTGGAACCTCCACCCCAGGAACTGCTACCAGGGAGAAGGGCTGTCAAGAAGGGAGTCAGAGAGCTTCCAGAGAACTGCCACAGAAGGAAGACACTGAGCTTAAATTTGGGGTGGAAGCCAAGGGAACCCATTACAAAGAGTCCCATGCTGTCTCCCAGGGCATGTCAGCCTTTATAACCCAAGGAGAGAGCATTGGCCTTCAGCATACTTCTCTGTTCTTTACCCAGGAAAACTTGTGTGGGCCTAAAACAGAACCAGAGCCCAGGAATGGTGCTAGGAAAATACATCATGGTGTGGGATGGAGGAGAGGACCCCACGGTTTTGCTGTGTCTATAGAAAAATGATTACTGAGAATCCTGAAGTATTCACCTTCAGGTTGTAAGTCTCTGCCACTCACAAACCAGAAGTCTTAATTAAAATGCTGCTAAAAGAAGCAAATCAATTAACAGATACCTTACAAGATGGTTTATTCTATCTTACACACAGAAAATTCCTTATGAGTATCATGTTACTGCTTTAGGTTATCAGCTAACAAAGGCTGCTAATGAACTATGTTGTTATCAAGTCAGATAAAAGACGCCCTGGGAATCCAGGCTAATTCTTATAACACAGCACTTTGTTTTGAAATATTGCTCATCTTTCATCACACACAAGGAGAGTAACCCAATCGGAGGAGAACCAGCCCACGCAACCACCTGGATTTCTGTTGAACTGGAAAGGCAAAGAGTATTCCATAATGCAGCCCCGGAATTACAGGGTTAATAGTATGGGGGAGAGAAATGTTAATGGGGTTTGTGCCACACAGCCTTAGGTTGATGGCAATAATAAGAAGATGGGGGTTTCCTAAGCCTCTGCTAGTCATGTCCTCCAGGCAAAAGCCATTCACATTTGTACTAATAACCACAAAATAATGCTATAACATAACAATAATCCCTTACATCTGTGTAGGT